GTCCCGAACCACTTCTTTCTCCACAGAGGGCTGGTCACCTCCTCCCCATGCTGTGCTGCCCAGTGCAGTAGTCTGGGAGCTGACCTTGTTCATGAAGACAGAGGCAAAAAAAGCATTGAGTACATTAGCTTTTTCCACATCCTCTGTCACTAGGTCGCCTCCCTCATTCAGTAAGGGGCCCACACTTTCTTTGACTTTCTTCTTGTTGTTAACATACCTGAAGAAACCTTCTTGTTACTCTTAACATCTCTTGCTAGCTGCAACTCCAGGTGTGATTTGGCCTTCCTGATTTCACTCCTGCATGCCCAAGCAATATTTTTATACTCTTCCCTGGGCATTTGTCCAATCTTCCACTTCTTGTAAGCGTCTGTTTTGTGTTTAAGATCAGCAAGGATTTCACTGTGAAGCCAAGCTGTTCGCCTGTCATATTTACTGTTCTTTCTCCACATCGGGATGGTTTGTCCCTGTAACCTCAATAGGGATTCTTTGAAATACAGCCAGCTCTCCTGGACTCCTTTCCCCCTCACGTTATTCCCCCAGGGGATCCTGCCCATCAGCTCCCTGATGGGCAAGAGTAAGAGTATAGCGGTAGGAATATGCTACTGACCACCTGACCAGATTGGTGGTGGTGATTGTGAAATGCTCAGGGAGATGAGAGAGGCTACAAAAACAGAAAACCCAGTAACAGTGGGGCATTTCAGGTATACTCATATGGACTGGGAACATGTCACCTCAGGACAGGATCCAGAGATAACATTTCTAGACACCATTAATGACTGCTCCTAGAAGCAGTTAGTCCTGGAACTCAGAAAGAGAGGGGCAGTTCTTGATTTAGTCCTAAAAGGAGCACAGAATCTGGTCCAAGAGATTAATACAGCAGAGCATCCCAGTAAGAGTGACCATAATGTAATTAAATTTAACATCCTTATGTGTGTGGGGAGGGGGAGGGAAATACCAAAGAAACTCACCACAAAAGCATTTAATTTCAAACAGGGGAACTACACAAAAATGAGGAAGCTAGCTAAATGAAAATAAAAAGAAACAGTCAAAACAAGAGTGAAATCCCTGCAAGCTGCATAGAAACTATTTAAAAACACCATAATAGAGGGTCAATCTAAATGTATACCCCAAATTAAAAAAAAAACAGTAAGAGGATCAAAAAATGACGACATGGCTAAATAACAGAGTAAATGAGGCAGTTAGAGGCAAAAAGGCATCCTTTCAAAATTGGAAGTCAAATTCTAGTGAGGAAAGGAGTATTAAACTCTGGCAAGTCAAGTATAAAAGTATAATTAGGCAGTACAAAAAAGAATTAGAAGAGCAACTAGCAAAAGACACACAAACTAAAAACAAAATGTTTTTAAGTACATCAGAAGCAAGAAGCCTGCCAAACAATCAGCAGGCCACCGGATAACCAAGGTGCTAAAGGAACACAAAGTTCAAAGAAACTAAATAATTCTATGCATCAATCTTCACTGCAGAGAATGTGAGGGAGATTCCCACACCTAAGCCCCTCTTTTTAGCTGACAAAGCTGAAGAGCCATCCCAGACTGAGGTGTCAATAAAGGAGGATTTGGAACAAATTTGGAAATTAAGCAGTAATTAGTGACCAGGTCCAGATGGTATTCAGCCAAAGGGTCTGAAGAAACTCAAATATGAAATGGTAGAACTACTAACTATAGTATGTAACCTATCACTTAAATCAGCCTCTGTACCAGATGTCTGGAGGCTAATGTAATGCCAATTTTTAAAAAAGGCTCTAGAGGTAATCATGGAAATTACAGGCCAGTAAGCCTAACTTCATTACCAGGCAAAGTGGTTGAAACTATAGGAAAGAACAGAATTATCAGACACATAGATGAACACGATATGTTGAGGAACAGTCAACATGGCTTTTGTAAAAATAAATAAATAGAAATCATGCTTTATCAATCTATTAGAATTCTTTGAGGGTTTCAGCAAGGATGTGGGCAAGGGTTATCCAATGGATATAGTGTACTTGGACTTTTAGATAGCCTTTGACAAGGTCCCCCACCAAAGGCACTTAAGCAAAGCAATCAGTCATGGGACAAGAGGGAAGGTCTTCTCATAGATCAGTAACTGGTTAAGTTGTAAGTAACTGATTAAGTAAGATAGTTAAGTCCAAAGCCAGCTGTGAAGAGTTACAAAGGAATCTCAGAAAACTGGGTGACTGGAGAATAAAATGGCAGATGAAATTCAATGTTGATAAAAGCAAAGTAATGCACGCAGGAAAGCATAATCCCAGCTATATGTACAAAATGAGGGTTTCTAAATTAGCTGTTACCACTGAAGAAAAAAGATCTTAGAGTCATCTTGCATACGTCTCTGAAAACATTTGCTTAATGTGCAGTGGCAGTCAAAAAGCTAACTATGTTAGGAACCATTAGGAAAGGGATAGATAATAAGACTGAAAATATCATAATGCCACTATATAAACGCCTGGTACGCCCACACTTTGAATACTGTGTGCAGTTCTGGTTCCCTCATCTCAAAAAACTGATATTAGAATTGGAAAAAATACAGAGGACAACAAAAATGATTCGGAGTATGGATCAGCTTCCATATGAGTAGAGATTTAGGGTATGTCTACACTACGAAATTAGGTCGAATTTATAGAAGTTGGTTTTGTAGAAGCGTTTTTATACAGTTGATTGTGTGTCCCCCCACACAAAGGCTCTAAGTGCATGTAGTCGGCGGAGTGTGTCCACAGTACCGAGGCAACCGTCGACTTCCGGAGCATTGCACTGTGGGTGGCTATCCCACAGTTCCCGCAGTCTCCGCCGCCCATTTGAATTCTGGGTAGAAATCCCAGTGCCTGATGGAGCTAAAACATTGTCGCGGGTGGTTCTGGGTACATATCGTCAGGCCCCCGTTCCCTCCCTCCCTCCATGAAAGCAAGGGCAGACAATCTTTTTGCGCCTTTTTTCTTGAGTTACCTGTGCAGCCACCATACCACGGCAAGCATGAAGCCCGCTCAGCTCACCGTCGCCATATGTCTCCTGGATGCTGGCAAACATGGTATTGCATTGCTACACAGCAGCAGTTTATTGCCTTTTGGCAGCAGACAGTGCAGTATGATTGGTAGCCGTCATCGACGTAGTCCTGGGTGCTCTTTTAACCGGGCGCCTGGGCAAACATGGGAGTGACTCAGCCAGGTCATTTCCCTTGTTTCGTCTCGTGGCAATTGAGTCCTACAGGCAGTGCACTGTCTTTTAACCTCCAGCTAGCAGAAGATGATGTCTAGTCGTCATACTGTGCTGTCTTCTGCCGAGCACCCAGAAGATGATGATGGCTAGTGGTCGTACTGCACAGTCTGCTGCCAGCAAGATGTATAAAGATAGATGAAGTGGCTCAAAACAAGAAATAGACCAGATTTGTTTTGTATTCATTTTCTCCTCCCTCCCTCTGTGAAATCAACGGCCTGCTAAACCCAGTTTTGAGTTCTGTCCTTGAAGGGGCCATTCAGTTTCTCGCAAAGCCACTCCCTTTGTTGATTTTAATTCCCTGTAAGCCAACCCTGTAAGCCATGTCATCAATCGCCCCTCCCTTCGTCAGGGCAACAGCAGACAATTGTTCCGAGCCTTTTTTCTGTGCAGACGCTATACCACAGCAAGCATGGAGCCCACTCAGCTCACTTTGGCAATTAGGAGCACATTAAACACCATGTGCATTATCCAGCAGTATATGCAGCACCAGAACCTGGCAAAGCGATACTGGGCGAGTAGGCGACGTCAGCACGGTGACGTGAGTGATGAGGACATGGACACAGACTTCTCTGAAAGCATAGGCCCTGCCAATGCAGGCATCATGGTGCTAATGGGGCAGGTTCATGCGGTGGAACGCTGATTCTGGGCTCGGGAAACAAGCACAGACTGGTGGGACCGCATAGTGTTGCAGGTCTGGGACGATTCCCAGTGGTTGCGAAACTTTCGCATGCGTAAGGGCACTTTCATGGAACTTTGTGACTTGCTTTCCCCTGCCCTGAGGCGCAAGAATACCAAGATGAGAGCAGCCCTCACAGTTGAGAAGTGAGTGGCAATAGCCCTGTGGAAGCTTGCAATGCCAGACAGCTACCAGTCAGTTGGGAATCAATTTGGAGTGGGCAAATCTACTGTGGGGGCTGCTGTGATGCAAGTAGCCCACACAATCAAAGTTCTGCTGATATCAAGGGTAGTGACCCTGGGAAATATGCAGGTCATAGTGGATGGCTTTGCTGCAATGGGATTCCCTAACTGTGGTGGGGCCATAGACGGAACCCATATCCCTATCTTGGCACCGGAGCACCAAGCCGGTGAGTACATAAACCGCAAGGGGTACTTTTCGATAGTGCTGCAAGCTCTGGTGGATCACAAGGGATGTTTCACCAACATCAACGTGGGATGGCTGGGAAAGGTACATGACGCTCACATCTTCAGGAACTCTGGTCTGTTTCAAAAGCTGCAAGAAGGGACTTTATTCCCAGACCAAAAAATAACCGTTGGGGATGTTGAAATGCCTATAGTTATCCTTGGGGACCCTGCCTACCCCTTAATGCCATGGCTCATGAAGCCATACACAGGCACCCTGGACAGTAGTCAGGAGCTGTTCAACTACAGGCTGAGCAAGTGCAGAATGGTAGTAGAATGTGCATTTGGACGTTTAAAGGCGCGCTGGCGCAGTTTACTGACTCGCTTAGACCTCAGCGAAACCAATATTCCCACTGTTATTACTGCTTGCTGTGCACTCCACAATATCCGTGAGAGTAAGGGGGAAATGTTTATGGCGGGGTGGGAGGTTGAGGCAAATTGCCTGGCTGCTGGTTTCGCACAGCCAGATACCAGGGCGGTTAGAAGAGCACAGGAGGGCGCGGTGCGCATCAGATAAGCTTTGACTGGACAGGCTACGGTGTGAAAGTTGTTTGTTTCTCCTTGATGAAACCCCCTGCCCCTTGGTTCACTCTACTTCCCTGTAAGCTAACCACCCTCCCCTCCTCCCTTCGATCACCGCTTGCAGAGGCAATAAAGTCATTGTTGCTTCACATTCATGCATTCTTTATTCATTCATCACACAAATAGGGGGATAACTACCAAGGTAGCCCAGGAGGGGTGGTGGAGGAGAGAAGCACCAGGAGGGGTGGTGGAGGAGGGAAGGACAAGGCCACACAGCACTTTAAAAGTTTAAAAGATATTGAATGCCAGCCTTCTGTTGCTTGGGCAATCCTCTGGGGTGGAGTGGCTGGGTGGCCGGAGACCCCCGCACCGCATTCTTGGGCGTCTGGGTGTGGAGGCTATGGAACTTGGGGAGGAGGGTGGTTGGTTACACAGGGGCTGTAGTGGCGGTCTGTGCTCCTGCTGCCTTTTCTGCAGCTCAACGATACACTGGAGCATATTGGTTTGATCCTCCAGCAGCCTCAGCATTGAATCCTGCTTCCTCTCATCACGCTGCCGCCACCTTTCAGCTTCAGCTCTGTCTTCAGCCCACCACTTACTCTCTTCAGCCGGCCACCTCTCCTCCCGGTCATATTGTGCTTTCCTGCACTCTGACATTGTCTGCCTCCACGCATTCGTCTGTGCTCTGTCAGTGTGGGAGGACAGCATGAGCTCAGAGAACATTTCATCACGAGTGCGTTTTTTTCGCCTTCTAATCTTCACTAGCCTCTGGGAAGGAGAAGATCCTGTGATCCTTGAAACACATGCAGCTGGTGGAGAAAAAAAAAAGAGACCGTGGTATTTAAAAAGACACATTTTCTAGAACAATGGGCACACTCTTTCACGGTAAACCTTGATGTTAACATTACATACACAGCACATGTGCTTTCGTTCCAAGGTCGCATTTTGCCTCCCCCCACCACGTGGCTAGCCCCTCACACACACACCCTCCCCCGGCTAACAGCGGGGAACATTTCTGTTCAGCCACTGGCAAACAGCCCAGCAGGAATGGGCACCTCTGAATGTCCCCTTAAGAAAAGCACCCTATTTCAACCAGGTGACCATGAATGATATCACTCTCCTAAGGATAACACAGAGAGATAAAGAACGGATGTTGTTTGAATGCCAGCAAATATATACTGCAATGCTTTGTTCTACAATGATTCCCGAGTACGTGCTACTGGCCTGGTGTGGTAAAGTGTCCTACCATGGTGGACGGAATAAGGCTGCCCTCCCCAGAAACCTTTTGCAAAGGCTTTGGGAGTACATCCAGGAGAGCTGCAAATGCCAGGGCAAATTAATCAGTAAACATGCTTGCTTTTAAACCATATATAGTATTTTAAAAGGTACACTCACCGGAGGTCCCTTCTCCACCTGGCGGGTCCGGGAGGCAGCCTTGGGTGGGTTCGGGGGGTACTGGCTCCAGGTCCAGGGTGAGAAACAGTTCCTGGCTGTCGGGAAAACCAGTTTCTCCGATTGCTTGCTGTGAGGTATCTACAACTTCATCATCATCATCTTCCTCGTCCCCAAAACCTGCTTCTGTGGTGCCTCCATCTCCATTGAAGGAGTCAAACAACACGGCTGGGGTAGTGGTGGCTGAACCTCCTAAAAGGGCATGCAGCTCATCATAGAAGCGGCATGTTTGGGGCTCTGACCTGGAGCGGCCGTTTGCCTCTCTGGTTTTCTGGTAGGCTTGCCTCAGCTCCTTAAGTTTCATGCGGCATTGCTTCAGGTCCCTGTTATGGCCTCTGTCCTTCATGCCCTGTGAGATTTTGACAAATTGTTTGGCATTTTGAAAACTGGAACGGAGTTCTGATAGCACGGATTCCTCTCCCCATACAGCAATCAGATCCCGTACCTCCCGTTCAGTCCATGCTGGAGCTCTTTTGCGATTCTGGGACTCCATCATGCTCACCTCTGCTGATGAGCTCTGCATGGTCACCTCTGCTGATGAGCTCTGGCCAGCGTGGCAAGCTGCAGGTGACCATGCAAACAGGAAATTGAAATTCAAAAGTTTGCGGGCCTTTTCCTGTCTACCTGGCCAGTGCATCTGAGTTAAGAGTGCTGTCCAGAGCGGTCACAATAGAGCACTCTGGGATAGCTCCTGGAGGCCAATACCATCTAATTGCGTCCACAGTACCCCACATTTGACCCGGCAAGGCCGATTTCAGCATTAATCCACTTGTCGGGGTGGAGTAAGGAAATCGATTTTAAGAGCCCTTTAAGTCGGGAAAAAAAGGGCTTCATCATGTGGACGGGTGCAGGTTTACATCGATTTAATGCTGCTAAATTTGACCTAAACTCCTAGTGTAGACCAGGGCTAAGAAGACTGGGACTGTTCAGCTTCAAAAAGAGACAACTAAGCGGGAATATGATAGAGGGCTATAAAATCATGAATGGTGTGGAGAAAGTGAATGGGGAAGTGTTATTTACCCCTTCACAACACAAGAACCAGATGCCACCCAATGAAATTAATAGGCAGCAGGTTTAAAACAAACACAGGGAATACTTCTTCACATGATGCACAATCAACCTGTGGAACTTGTTGCCAGGGGATGTTGTGAAGGCCAGAAGTATAACTGGGTTCAAGAAAGAATTAGATAATTTCATGGAGGATAAGTTCATCAATGGCTATTATCCAAGATGCTCAGGGACACAACCCTTTAAATGTCTGACTGCCAGATGCTGGGACTAGATGACAGGATCACTCAATAATTGCCCTGTTCTGTTCGTTCCCTCTTGTGCATCTGGTATTTGGCTACTGTCGGAATACAGAATTCTGGGCTAGATGAACCTTTGGCCTGACCCAGTATGCCCATTTTTATGGCCTTATGCTAATATCCAAACTCAATTTTAAAACCATAATTCACTCAGATGTAATGAGTGTAACGTATATTCCTGCATAGACCAAGTGTGCTAGCATTAGACTGAAGATTTTGACTCTTAAAGATAGCAATATTAAAGGCTCCTTGGAATAATGATGTGTAGGAAAGTTCTGGAAGTACCTTTTAGACAGGTATGCCTTCTACATGTTGGGATATATCATTTGGAAAGCTATCCAGACTTCTCTTGCTAATTGTGGACCTGATTCTGCCACCCTTATCCCAAAGTATCTTGCTCTGTAAACATCTGGAGTAAGGTGAGAGAAAGAGGCCATATTTATTTGACTCATTTATTTACATTTATGAAGGGTTTTCTCAAGAAATACAATTTTAGGGGGACTTTCTCAAATATCTCACATCTGTGGATTTTGTGTCAGATTCCTTATTGAAATTTTAGTCATGTGAGTTTTCTTCCATGTATTTCTCTCTAGTTTATAGTGCACCTCTTGGTTGTACCTTAAACCCTGTACATAGATTTTTTCCCCCCTTAAATCAGAGAATATTCCATACTTTTCCAAAATCCATTCCTAAAACTTTATACACTGAAGTATTCTGGGGAGTGTTTGGATTATTTAGCTTGATTAGTTTTTATTTGAGGTTTGATCACAAACCATTGTGGTTTCTCTCTGCAGTTATCATGCACTCTTGGTTTTCTTTAGCCATGTTACTATATTTTTAAGGATAAAACATAAATGTATATAATGCTTTCGGTTGCAGACAGGAACCACAGGTCTGCAGTGTGGTCATGGAAACATGCACTCCGATTCAGCAAAGTACTTAAGCACATACTTATGCCCCACTTACTTTAAAAGTCAAGCATGTGCTTAAGTGCTTTGCTGAATCATGGCCTTAGAAAGAGTTCTTCTCCGAATATCCATATCAGATATTTAATATTCCTGAGAACTGCTGCCATTCTGAAACATTACAGCCACAGCCTGCCCAGTTCCTTGGGATTTAATCAGCATTAATCTCAATCAGGTTTTGCTCATCTCATGCTTACAGTAATTAAAAACTAGATGTATCTGAGAATAAGAAACAAACTAAGCAGCAGATATGTTGCCTCATCTGTTCTTTTGCGGACTTGCCTAATATGTATCACATGAACTCTTGTAAGAAAAGGAGCTCATGTGAAAAATAAATTTCCTCCTCAGAGCAAGGGAAGGAGGACGGAGCTACTACATCAGTCTTGATGTGAGGGTTGAGCAAGGTGCGGAAATCAGCCCTGAACTCTTCCCGCAGCATTTGGCACCTGTACAAATAGCTTGGGTCTCAAATGCTGTTGTTCTTTCAGTTTTATTGAACATTAAATCCATCATCAAAATATGCAGAAAGAAAAATGAATGCAACATCCCTCAAGGTCACTTATGTGGATTGTCTCCATGGATGTACTGTAGCGGCTTTGGGCTTTGTTGTAATAAAGCAGCATCAATCCAGGAAGCTCCAAATCATAGAGCAATGTTCCTCTTTTCTCTGAAAAGTATAGTACAAATATACCCTATCCATACAGCCAACCTGTTCAGTGAGGCACTCAGATTAAGGGAAATTATACTCATTACAAGAGGTCACCTCTATCTGCCATGTACTAAGCTGTACGTTAGTACTCTCTCTTCTCAGAGCCCCAGTGACCACGTGACACAAGGAGTAGCCACACAAGTAGGACAAGTTCTAGCATCTGTGGCACTCCTGCAGCTGAGAGCAATCCAGGCACATGGACCCCAAATTCACAATAACATTTAATTTTTAACCCATTTAACTTTTATTTTCTGGCTTAACTTTATGATGAGAAATTGGGGGAAGTTTGGGGAATAGGCAGAGGGAGGAAGGAGACCAGGTTTTGTGTCTTTTATGTCTTCTCCATTAACGTGAATTATTTATATTGTCCAGTGTTGCCTCCCAACTGTGTGGTGCCCACTGTAGCTATAGAGTCACACGTCGTATTTCCCAGTGGAAGTGAACCTGCCTACAGGAAGCCTAGAGTTGGGGGAGACCTGTTTTGGTGGGCACCAAGGAGGAGATAGTTCTTGGAGAAAGGGGAGGCAGTTGTACCAGCAGCGCTTTTCGAAGATCAAACTGCACAAGGCAGTGGGCAGACAGCGGTGGAGTTGACCAGCACAATCTCTGTATGGAAACAGCTGCAGTTCTGTCACTGAGATATCTGGACCAAATGGGAAAATGAAAGTAAAATAAATGTGTGTTCCTCCCAGTTGTCTCCATTTACAACTTCACTTGTGTGTGCAGTTTCCGGACAGAAGATGCCTGTGAAGCAAGTGATCCACTGTCCCAACAACACAGCACTCTCTCCACTCGGGGCTCCATGGCACAATCCACAGGACATCTCACAGGTCAACACGCTGCGCTGAACAGCCAGGCAGGCCCGAGTCCGTGCTGAAGAGCACTTTCCACAGTGAAGGCTTGTGCAGCTCCAGCGTGCCCCACAGTATCTAAAAATCTGACCTACCACTACCACAGTATGGAGGTACATGGACTCTGAGCTGTAGCAGTGGACTCTGCTAAGAATGGGGCAGGAAAATGAGAGGCCAGAATGAAATGGAAGATTTTAAACCTTAATCCCCCTCTAGTCCAAACCATCCTGTAAGGAAGGAGTCCAGGTTCTTATTCCTTCTTCCACTTTCCAAAGAAAAGGAAGCACTCACAAGCAAGACAACACTCTGAGTTATACGTGTACAAGAAGAGAATCTTTCTAAATAAATAAAGCTGACATTTTAAAAAGCCATTTTTCCCAATCTGTTTGTGTTTGCTTGTGCTTGACATGTACATATTTATCCATTGGTTAAGCCATTAATCAGGAAACAGGAGCTGAATAAACAGATCATTGGGCATTCTTCAGAGATGGGTCTTGGGCTGAGCTTCAGCATTTCCTCAAAAATGTTGCTTTCGCTTTTAGCTTTTCAGTCAGCAATAATTTCAGTGCAAGGCATCAGTCTGATAAAGGAGGGAAATGAATGTGTTTGCAGAAGTAAATTGTGTTTGGAGTAGAAGATGAAGGGAGAGGTCTAACCAGAGTGATTTGTTACGACCTATGTCCTTCCAACTTCCTGACGATCAGCCTTTGAATTTTTGCCTTCGTGTCACCTTGGGGAAACTGTCTGTGTATCTATGGAAAATTCATGGTAGGGTGGCGTGGTATAGAGGTTTTATCAGCATGAAAATGAGATGATTTTTACTCAGGAACGGGTCATGTAGGTCATTCCAAGTGAATGACAATAAAAACTCTAAAAAGAAAAGGAGTACTTTTGGCCTAGCAGCCTCTTGTTCATATTCCGACCTCTTCATGATGACGACAGCACCTCCTTTGTCAGCCTTTTTGATTATGATGTCAGAGTTGTTTCTGAGGCTGTGGATGGCATTGTGTTCTGCACGGCTGAGGTTATGGGGCAAGCGATGCTGCTTTTCCACAATTTCAGCCCGTGCATGTCGGCGGAAGCACTCTATGTAGAAGTCCAGTCCATTGTTTCGACCTTCAGGAGGAGTCCACCCAGAATCCTTCTTTTTGTAGTCTTGGTAGGAAGCTCTCTGTGGATTAGTATGTTGTTCACTACATAGAGTGCTTCCGCAGATGTGCATGGGCTGAAATTGTGGAAAAGCAGCATCACTTGCCCCATAACCTCAGCCGTGCGGAACACAATGCCATCCACAGCCTCAGAAACAACTCTGACATCATAATCACAAAGGCTGACAAAGGAGGTGCTGTCGTCATCATGAATAGGTCAGAATATGAACAAGAGGCTGCTCGGCAGCTCTCCAACACCACTTTCTACAAGCCATTACCCTCTGATCCCACTGAGGGTTACCAAAAGAAACTACAGCATTTGCTCAAGAAACTCCCTGAAAAAGCACAAAAACAAATCTGCACAGACAC